TCTATAAAAAATTAAAAATGTTAAGTCCGTTCCAGTCAACTTTAAACAGAATCCAGGCAGGGGAGTTACCATAGACAGTGCTTCAGGTAAAGTTGACTTTCACTACAACGTCATAATATGTCAACATTTTTGTTACTTGAACGCACACGAGCCAGACTGGCTCCACAAGTTCACGCCACCCGATGGCAGGAAACGAAAAGAGAAAACGATAAATCTCGTGGTAAAAAAATTATTTAGCACAGCACCTCGACATTTCACCACACAGACGACGACATCATAAGCTTACGATTTGTGAGTTAAAATTATTTTTATGCATTCTTTAGGTAGTCCTGCACAGAGAGGTAGTTTTGCAGGTAGTCTTGCAGAACAGAAAGATGCACATGCATGGTTTTCTGTGCAGGCTTGACCTTTTCTTGAAACGTAATGCACGCTTTACTCAGCTGTCACAGTGCCTTCGTCTGCATCAACAATCCACTGAATTCAGCATCCCAGTCGATAGCTTAAGCTCAAGACCGCTGCGGTCACTGTGGTCAGCTGATCGGGATCCAAACCGCCGATCGTCGCCTCCGTCCACTTCCGCCGTCGGTAATGCGTGGACTGGCGCGGATCCGCGCTCTGGTATTCATTCAGCGCCTGAAAGAATCACAACCATCCATGAAAAGTTCAACGGTATTGAAAGAGATGTGCCGGCACGCTAAAACCGGCTACACGCACTCTGGAACTATCGCTTTCGCGCGCTCCCAAACACCTGTCTGCACTGTTTCATCACATTCTGTAGCCAAATGGTTTGTGTGTATTGGCGCACTAATTGCATCTGTGAGCAAGATCTGGTTCAGGAATTATTATCGATGAAATGCTGCAGAAACTTCAAAAGCAAAGAGGTGCACCATAATCTCGTTATGGAGCCGATTTTCTGCAAGTTTTGCACTTAAACTCGCTCACGAGCAGTCTAAAGAGGATCATTGCACCGAACCAGAGTTGCATAATTTTTTTCGAATTACACAGTAATATTCGTAAAATTTCCGAAAATTAATTTCAATTTACGAAGATGCTATGACCTTAAGGAGAGTTTAAAAACAATCTCCATAGTCCGTAGGTATGGAGTATGTAGGTACGTTCCGGTGCAAAATTTGGAGATCTGTCCATAACGGAGCGTTTGGTACACCTGCCTGCGTTCAAGCTTTTTGGGTTATGAATTTTTATTAAGTTTTCCACTCCCGAACCGGAGAATGCGAAAACAAACGGTTTTCACGCCAGTGTATACAGATCATTTGGCGGAAGCGGTAGTTCCCGTGCATGCACCTGAATCGCTTTCTCCCGGCATACTTCCTTGAAGTGTCTACCGTTGCGTTCTACCGAGGTAACCAACTAATTTACCTTCGCAATCTCCCGTGCCGTTAGCCTAGAGGATTGGCCACCCAGGCTGCCGGCGATGCAGGTTGATACGCCGGACCGATCTAGCGGCTTCGGCAGAACGAGATTCCTCTCAAAGAGATCCCACAGCTCCTGGTCTAACTCTTCGCTCGATGAGGCACTAAATGTATACTGCGCTACATGGGCTGTTAGAAAGCCATCATCCATCTCGCATTCCTTCCACACCACTTTGCCGCATCTTGCATTTCTTAAGGTGCAAACTACCTTGTCCACGACACGGTTCAAACCGCCATAGATCTCGCACCACCCACAGCGATAAAACACCAGTGTCGGGATCCGTTCGGGTGTGAGGACCCTGCCGATCAGAGCGGCTAATTGTTCACATCCTTCTCCACTGACATTCATGATAATCGCCACCGTGGTGCGGTTACTCAGGCACTTGAGCAAGGTGTTGGCCGCCCAACAAAAACCGTGATTAGCGAGGGTCAAAACACCGTAATCGGGATGGCCGAGAGACACGCACACATCGGGAAAGTAGGTCTCGGTGGTGAGGAGACGGTTCCACGCGTGACACACCCGCCGACAACGATTACGCCCGATGGAGTCCAGCGAGCGGAAGAACCGCACCAACAGATCAGCCGGCAGCGGCAGACACTTTTCTGGAGGCATCTGAAACTGAATATTCTGCCTGCGGAGCAGCAACTGTATGTCCGATTCTCCACGCTCAAACTGGCCCCGTGCCGTGTCGTACACGCTTTCCTAAGACAACGAAGAGAATGCTGTCAATTTAATTTCAGTCCTTCAAAGTGCGATACTGTGGTATCTGCCTACCGGTATATTCATTTAAGCAATAGCCAATTAACAGAACAACAAGCTGCTCTGAGCGACACTAACTAAAAATGTAAAGTGGTATCCTGAATGTATCCCAGGTCATGAGTTTCGATGATTTCTGTCTGCAGCTTACAGGAGGCGCTGACTCGTAGCAAACAGAAAATAAAATAATGGGATAGAATTACAACATTGAGATTTAACCAGAGAATAGTGACTCACCACTTCCTGTGACGTCAAAGGAAGGGGCGCTGGACATTGCAGGTAGTGCATATTCTGGCCGAGTAGGGAGATGCACAACACACGGGATGACCGGTATAAGTTATATTCGAAGATCTGCTTAAGGAGCGGAGAACTGTCAAACGAAGCCGTGGGCAATGGACAACAGCGGATCTCGAAATCACCTTTTCCCAGGCGAAGCTTCTTGAAAGCCGCGGGAGAGGGCGGCGTGCGTAGGCGGAGAGGGCGTTGACCGTGAGGGACTACTTGTGTGACGGCGCCCTCGGGCAGTTGCACTTGCACCAGTTCGGCGTCCTTCAAGTTGAAATGTTCGGTCCGTCCAGGGTACCAAATCCACGCACCGTCCGGGTAGCGGCGCTGCAGGACTTGCACGTCCCGCGGTTCGGAGGTGCGGCGGGCTGAGGTGTCGTGGGTGTATGGGAACTGCCACTGGAAAGCCCGCGCGTATTCGACAAACTGCGCGCGCTGGTTGGCACAGTGAAAGTCGACGATCAGGCCGCCCTCCGCCACGTTAACGATCTCACCGTGCTGCAGTAGTCCGCCGTCGACGAGAACGTCCACGGAATTCCAGCGCGTGGCATTACCGCTCCCGTCACCGTAAAACGGCATAATGCAGTTCGTGCTGATCAGGTGATTGCAAACGTACACCTTCAAAACAGCATGATAGCGTCGATCTGATAACGCTAGTACTTCCTGTCGTGGCTTCGAATAGAATAATTTTACGCTAACGACACTGAACCTCTCAAGCAGCGTTAGTATAAACGGCATCAAACATCCAACGCGAAAAGTTAAGGTTTGGAGAGCTTTGCGAACAATTTACAGGAATCTATGTTGCCGAAGCGCCATCTTGGGCGGTTACAGGTTACGCACGCGTTGCTGTGTACTCGCGTTGCGCGTTCTGTGTTTGGCCAGTCAAGTGTCCACGCCGTCATCGCGCTATGAGACACAGCTCCTGCATCGCGTCCGGCTTTGCTCTCGCCTGGTTGGTATAGGCACGAGGCATGCACGTGGTGACCCAATTAGTCGATTACGATGGATTTTGGGCGCGGTGCCGGATTCATGTTTGAGGACGCAATGCACGCTGTATTTTCGCTTTTGGCCTGGTGAACAGGCTTCTTAGTTTTAACATTATGCGTCAATTTGGGGCTGCTCTGATGAACCCAATCAGCCCATTCTGTTCCATCCTGAATAAGGGATGAGCCTATGCCATAACTGACAGAGATTCAGCGTCACATGTGTGAATCCATTCCTCACGACGTTATTTCAAATAACTATTTGGAGATTAGTGCCAGCACGAACTGCATGATGCCTTTTTACGGTAATGAGGAGGGTGATGTAACGCGCTGGAATGCCGTGGACGTGCGCCTCGACAACGGGCAACTGCAGCACGGCGACATTATAAACGTGGCGGAGGGCGGTCTGGTCGTTGACTTCCACTGTGCTAATCAGCGCGCACGGTTTATCGAATACACACGGGCTTTTCACTGCCCCTCCTCTCCACGTAATCCCCAACGGCCGCAGGAGGTCCTGCAGCGCCGCTATCCGGACGGTGCCTGGATCTGGTACCCTGGGCGAACTCCCGCTTACGGACGACTCCAGTGCGAGGATGCGGAATTATTGGACGTGCAGATGGCCGAGGCAGTTGTTCGGCAGCTGGTTCCTGTCGGTCAAATACGCAATCCCCCCTCGGAGGCGGATTTTGAGGAGCGCCGCGTGGCGAAGAAGGACTTCGTGGTCCGGAGTTTGCAGTTGCCCGCCGCATATTCCTTCGACGGTTCTCCGTTGCTTGGACAGCTCTTCAAACGTGAACTGAACGAACAAGGCTGTTTGTGGTGTATCTCACTGCTTAACCAGACAGTTGTATATCTGCAGCGTGGGGCGACCCCTCAACTGTCATTGAAGCTAGTGGTAAGTAAACCTACCGTAGAGACTTTTCGTATTCAGCCCAATCTGGTCGTAATCAGGCTCGCGCTGGCGCCTTTCGTGGCGGCGGCGGTGTAGTCTAGAGCCGCCGGGTGGGGGCCACCAGATTCTGGAATTCCGACAGGGGCGGATTGTTTTTCAAAAAAAAATATTTATTTAAAAAACTGAAAAGAACTGAAAAGAGCTTCAAAAATGCGTACAAATTCCAAAAAAATCATAAAAAGCTTCAAAAAACGCTATAATGCTTTTTTGTCGCAGTGCGACTACTTGTTATTAGCCCATAGAATGCGTTAGCCAAACTGACAACTCTGCTGATTATTGCAGAAGAGGATATATGACGGCGCCAAGAATGATATGGAGGAAGACACCATGGACGTTCAACTGCTGCGTCGCCAGTTGGATGCCGCAGCAAAGAAACCGCGGACGAGTTCTGGCGGTGTGTCGCTGCCGGCGGAGTTGATGGTGGACGTCTTCGGCTCGCTGGACTCCATCGCTCGTATTCGTTGCCGGCGGGTGTGTGCACTGTGGAACGCCATTCTCATCAATGAAACCCAGTTCCCGGACGTGCGCGTCTCCGTTGAACACCCGGATTACCATGTTCTGACAGGCGCTTTTCAAGGGATCTACTGGGCGGGAGCGTGCTTGCTCAGGTGTCTCAGCAGCCGCACAAAGATGGTGATTATTATGACTGCCTTCGAAGGCCGATGCGCCAGTCTGGCCAGTTTAATCGAGAGAATTCTTTCACCGAAACGGATCCCGACGTTGGTGTATTATGATTGCGAATGGGCCGCGGAAGAGGGTCTTGTAGTTAGCGTCGTAGGATGGGTCGTTAGCACGTTCGGGGGATGTGGAGTATGCGAGAAAGTAATCTGGAAGAAGTGTGTCATGAAGGACCGCCGTCTCACGGCGCATATAACGCAGTACACCTTTCGCGCGCAGTCGGGTGACGAGTTGCACAGGGAGCTGTGGGATCTCTTTGAGAAGAATGTCGCCCTTAAACAGCCGCTGCATTGGCCGGCTCTATCAACATCCGTTGCCGACTGCATTGCCGGTCGACCCAGTGTTCTGTGGAAAAGATCGATTGCGAAGGTTGTATTACGCGTTTAGCGTGCTGATTATACCGTGCAGAATTCTCATTGGATGATTGTCGTTTTGCAGGTCCTCAATCATTACCAGCGCTGGGATCCGCGTCCGTCCACTCATTACCGCGGTCGCTACTGGTCGGAGGCTTGGCTCGGCGATGTGGACTCTAGTAAACTGACCATACTGACGGCAGCTTCTTTAAGTAATCTCAACACTAATTTCTCTACGGATGAAGACGAAAGCAACGAATCGGAATGATACGACTCTAATTTTGAGTTAAACGGTAAAATTATAAGTCCCAAGTCCTTAGTCTGCATTAAAAAGTGCGTCGGTGGTCTTAGAATACCAAAATCTTATTGAACTACTCTGCATGTAAATCAACCAAAATGCCGAGGTTCAGCAACTTGTCGAGTTGTCGTTTCAACAAAATGCCGGGTAAACATTCCGTCAGTCAGCAAAACGTCGGCAGCAAAGTTGTCGCTCGGCATTCGGCAAGATCGCTGCTAACAAATTGTAGGTGTGCCGCTATTGTAGTATAAATCTGCTGATAGTGGATATGCTGATTGTTTGAAGCAGTAATTAATACAGATTTTGTAATCGTGGCTGTAGTGATGAGGACGTATTGCTGCTGCTGCGTACACGGAGACGGAAATTCAGTCGATGTTGTGGATGGACTGTGAGATCTTTTGTTGAGCGACTGCGGTCGTAATCTTTCTCTATAGCACATAACCATGATATAAGTTTTCTTTCTTCTTTTGTTTTATATTATCGGGTACAATGAATCTGTTGTCTATTTTGCTAAGTTGCTCTGAAGTCTGCAGTAAGAAAGCTGATTTTACTTTGTACGGAATTTGGCAAATTAATCGAAGTGCAGTAGATAAGTACAGCAAAAACTTTGTTATCGTTTTGGGTGGTATTTTTCATCGTCAGTTGATTGTGTGATGGTGGCCGTAGCTTTTGACTGTGATGCAGCAATGTTGTAAACAAAAAAATAATAAGAAGTCAGCGTATTATTAAGCACTCGTCCTGTATTGAGAACATTAGTCGGATTCAGGAAAACGGTATAGCGCTTGTTAAGGTTCTCTGGTTGATAGTTACTGTAGAAGCTGCTGACCATTGAAATTGTTTGTCAGCCCGTTTTCCGGACGGTATCGGGATACCAGTAACCCGCGGTACGGGCATTGTCATAAAGCAGCAAACTGAAAATTTTACAGCAGGCCGACTGCCACCACCACCTCCGCCTCCGTCTGCTTCACCCGCCCTCCGGATGAAATCGCTTCGTCTACGGCCCACTGACCAACACCACCGGGGTTTCCCGGATCGGGCCAAGGGAGCCCAGTGGCAAGAATCGGTCAGCTGACGCGACCCCAGCTTTCAGACGGCGCCGTAGAATGTCCGCGAGCAGAGTTAGTTACAGTAATGAAGGAATGCTCTTAAAGCATCTCAACTCGAATTGCCTACTCAGCGCTTCGAGTGGGCTTCCGACTGTTCAGTTTGCAAAAGGACGCAAGATCACGAATCACCTATGATACTGTAGCGTGTGGCTACTGTCTGTGTGTGAATGCGTACGCTAAGCAAACCGGCAAACTGTACGTTTTGTAACTTTATTCATCAACTGGCAGAAAGGAAAAGGAAAAAGTCAAGTGTTGAGGAATGACCATCGGTCAGCATGCGATGAGATGGCTGTATGTAAATGCCTAGAGGCAAGTAGGAGGAACAGATACATGTATAACGAATGGGCGAACGGGAGTGACCGTTAGGTATACATACAGTACACGCAAATACAGGTAACGGGCGTTACATTGCCCCCATGCAAGTCTGAAGATGTCCTCATCGAAGCCACAAGGGAGATAACATTAATACTCACTGGCAGCGTGTACATTGTACAATGGCTAAAGATGAAAAGAGTAATTAACGATCCGTCCATACACGGCCAGTGATGTGGCTATGAAGGAATCCACTAACGGGATCCGATAAGGTGCGATAATAGTTGGGCAATTAGGCGGCGAGCACGAGATCCATTAGGAACGGAATATATATCCATCAGCCGGTCCAATGAGGACAATGTCCGGTCGCCTGCGCGGTGTTTAATGCGGATAGCGCAGAACAACCCGGCGGGGCTGCGGTTGTTTTGGTGGCGGAGTAGGCAGAGGGATGATGACATCGGTTCGGTTGCATAGGTTACCGCCGGGGCGCGCGTTGGTAAATGCGGAGGTGCGTTCTGAAGTCTGGCAGAGGTACTGAAACACTTGAAACAACATGATGATACACACGCCCGCATGCAGGCGAAAAAACACTGCAAGCAGCCTGTACGGATTCCAAGATACAGGAATCCGGCCAGAAGGCCAAAGACGAGTAATAGTACAGACACTGTCTTTATGCGCTCAATAAATGACATATGTACAGTACTTGTTTCTATCTGATTAGTATTTAGCATTAAATCATTAAAAACCGTAGATTTAGAATTTTGCAGTAAGGCAGACAATTCAGCAATCATATTAAGAGTGGAAGATTCTTTATTAGTAATATCAGACAGAGAGTGAAAAACATGGTCTACCGGTGTAACGAAAAAGGAACGGAAGTGGATTTTCTTCGAGAATTTAGTAAAGTTCAGAGGTACCCAGGAAATATTATTGTAAATATACGAGTATCCATTAAAGTTGGTAATGCCGTTTGACCAGAAACATGTGGAAAATGGGTGCAGAGTGAAACCATCTTTACCAATCGTGAAATTAGAATGATGTATAGATGTAATAGGTTCAGGACCGCACTTAGTGAATACAGCATGAAAAGTGGTATTTAAGGAAGTACAAGTACGGAGAATGGCAGTATTACCATGTACATCAAGGTGGTTACAGAGAGGAAGATTAAAAGCATGTGCTGCACGAACTGGAGAGAGTTTCGAAAGGAGGAAAAGATCGTGCTTTTTATTTTGACGGAGTTTACAAAAAATATTGTTACTATCGGCAATTAGATTATTAATCTGGTCCGACATGGTATCTAGTAACCACTAGTTATGTTGATGGATAGCCGACGTATAAAAGACTTGTAAACGCACAGTAAGCTTAGAAATATCTACATGTTGAGAAATTGTGGTGTGAGAGGTTAAATTAAGCGGTAATTGTGTTGAACGATTAAAAATTTGTAGCAGAAGGGATTGGTCGTCAAAGAGGGGATAATTTGTCGCATTTGCCATGGGGCAGTCGGAGACGACAGTTAAGTTAAAATACAAATCAGTTTGACGAAGTTTATCCCGGACGTAAATGGTACTATCAGTCTTAATCAAATCACCTAAACCGGAATGAAGCTCGTGAAATTTAGAACAATGTTGTGTTTCGGTGAATCGATTATTTACCTGCCATACGTAAGCTGTATGACCGTGAACTGCATAACCCGAAGGGTACTGTGCAGTTAGGTTACCCTGAACGGAGACCACGGCACAATTGTCGCAGTCTCGCTCCAGGGTAACTTCCTCGAAGACGCAGTTAGTAGTACGAAACTGATTACTATGCAGCCAGCTGGCCGAGCCTGTAGGATCGGCTTCATAACGAAATGCGTGACCGTCGTGTACCATAACATTGCCTGAACAATCTAACGTTTGGACCATATGCCAACAATCTACGGCACTTACTACAACAGGATATGATTTTTGGTAAGTGTCCGTCGAACCCCAGAAAAATTCACTAATGTACAGTACGTTTACCCAGCTTCTACAGGCATAGCCTTTAAAGTTGAACGACGTACTTACAGCGGAGAAAAGTTTATAAAAAACCGGTACCTGTAAGTCGGAGGCGCGGTTAGGCTGATGGCAGGAGTCGTAGTCGGAGAGGTCCAGTGAGCCGACAAAGCGTGGGTGCTGACAGTCGCACACCTGGACAAGGGGTCCGGATGTGCCGGTAGCGCCGGCATGGCGGAGGAGGAGTGCGGCCATGAGGAAAAAGGCCAAATGTGTGGCCAAGGCCGGCACACGTGGTGTTAAGCGAATAGTGTACTCTGCAGCCGGTGGTGGTGACGGTGGGGTCGGCGGCGACTGCGGTCGTGGAATGCGAGGGAGTGGTGGCAGCGGGGGCACCCGTGGCACTTTGGGCGCCCAAAGGAAAGGAACAGCCCAATCCTCGCTGTAAAAGCAGGTGTGATATGGCGTGACCGTCAGTTCGAACGAATTGACGGTCTGGAGGATGGTGGCCTCAGTGGCGTGGTAAAGCGGGCGGTAGTTATCAAGTATATACAAGCGCGCTTCGAGTTCCGTACGCGCGTACTTGGCAACAAAATACTGGCCCGGCTGGGGGAAGTACGTGCCTGGCGGTTGTTCTCCCGGCATCATAAGTGTGTATGGATGATAAAGTGGATGGTCGAGCGGTTCACCGGCTGTGACTGGTATGTGCGTTTCGCCATCAAGAAAATCCTCGTAGCCCGGGATGACGCCGGCACAGATTTGATGTGCCTGGTCGGTGATCAGGTTTTCCGATTCGCGGGGACCGTAGAACGGGATTGACAGACCCTTAATGTGGCGTTCCGACAGCATGACCGCCTGGAATGTATTAAGCTGTTGTAATAAACGATGCGGCTGCTTTACCGCACGGCCGCTGAGGCGCGGGGCAGGCGGCGTGGGGTCACCGGCGGTGGCCGGTGCCGGCGATGTTGATCTGCTCGGGGTTTCAACGGCGGTAGAGACAGCCGGAGGGTGTGTGTCGTTAAGCGAATACAAAATGTCGTCGTCAGAGTCGGAGACGTCGCTCATATCGGAAACTGACCGATCGCGGTCCGAAATATCGGAATCGGAGGTAAACGCTGCACGATCGTGAAACGGACGAAGACGAGAAATATGAGCAACCTCGGTCTTTTGGTTACCACGCAAATTGGTGAGTAAGTATGTAACTGGACCAAGCTGTTTAGTAATCGTGTAGGGACCACGAAACATATGGGTAAGCTTTTTTGACGTCCTGAGCTTAAACGTAGGTTTATGAAGAAGGACCAGGTCGCCGATAGCAAACTGAGCGTCCTTTAAGAACTGGTTATGATAGCTGAGATTAGTGTTTTGAGAAGCTTCCACGTTAGCAACAACGATTTCTGAAATTTCGGAGAAGCGGTCGATTAGATTGCGAGACAACTGCGTAGGCTCGGTGGGCAACACAAGATCCACCGGAATTGTAGCCTCTCTACCAAACATGAGGAAAAAGGGAGAAAACTTCGTCGTAGTATGAACGGAAGTGTTGTAGGCGTATACCGCATATGGTAAGACTAGTGACCAGTCTTTGTGATAAAGGTCAACGTATTTGGAAATTATTTCGAGTAAAGAGCGATTTACGCGTTCGACGGGCGCATTTCCTTGGCTATGGTAAGGCGATGAGTGCAA